TAAAATCTACCTTCAATTATGAAAAAATCATTGTTTTAAAGACCGGTCTATTTGATCGGATACAGTTAGGAGATGTTTGTGAGGAGTGCCAGTAGTTTTAGTGTGATCTGTGTCTGAACTCTTCCATAAGACAAAGAAATCATTGTTGTGCTTGACGTGAAGCCCTTAGACACAGCCTCAGTGCTTAATTACTCTGTGTACTATTCATAATAGCGAATACCCCCAAATATGTCTGGAAGTCCCTAGCTGTACAATGTTGAAAGCCAGCGTAATCTTAGCCAAACTATTCTAGAAGGCAGAGTTGGATTCGATGTGAAGCTCACGCAGATCTAGGCAAAGTCTTAAGTGTTGCATAGAAGCCATTACAGGAAAATATAACGCCGCCCTGTCCTTCGTCCTTCTCATAATGCCTTTGTATTCAATTAAATCGATCTCTTCCGAAGTGTCATATCTATGCTACCCGCGGATAGCAGCGCTGCCTGAGTTAATTTCTGTGTGCGTAAATTTTTCTGATTAGTCCTAGCTACACAATAGTTTAACTGTTTAGGTAAATTCGTGTGATAGAGGGCCGATGTTTAGAGCAACGCTTGCCATATTGCTCCTTGAGTTCGAGATCCGATTGAATATTGAGTTCAGGGAAATTCTCGAGGATAACTTGGAAGATTTATTTATCATCTTAAGTGATTAATAATGAATCGTTGTTTGCTACGCTATTATTAGACGTGATCAAATGCATCTGAGAACTATAACTTGCATAAGATGATGATTTGCAAAGATATTCCAATTGGTCATAAAAAAAAATGGAAGGAATACACCACACTTTCTAGAAAAGTTGAGTTTTGACTAACATTCCTTTGTGTCGAATTTAGAAAGGGGTTGAAAACACCCAGCAACCGAAATCTCCCGACGGGGAAACTTCAGTTGGCAAGCGAAGATTTTATCTGGCCAAAGTTCGTTGGGCTGCGATCTCTAATTGTAATCAAAACTAGGGACAACAAGTTAGAATTTGACATTTTTTTTATTGTGTTAAAACGATTTGAATAGATGTGTTGATAGTCGCAATACATCGAATTTATCGCCGCATCAGCTACACTATGTCTAGTACCATTTAAGCTGGGGTTATTGATACGCCAAAAATATATATTTCAAAAACGTCTTCATTTTGCCAAGGAGTTTTTATGCCAAAAGCTACTTTCATCGCTTTGTACATATACCGCTTGTTGTCTTACAAAACAATCTAGGTGGAAATTTACACTTCGTAGCAGATGATGAAATATCACGCACTATCGTTTACAGAGGCTTACAAACAGAATTATGCGATCGTACGGGGCATTTTTGAAGTTTTTAGAACGTGCGAGCGAACACCGTATGGTAATACTTTTTCTAGAATGGGTTTATTTGCTGGGTTTTCTTCAAACTATTTCCCAAAGCAACCAAATTCGATAAAAGACATGCCAAAAAAATCCGGCGCATGCATTTAGCATAAGGCGCATGCGCTTCATCATAGATGTAATTGTTTTGGTAATTCGAAGCTAACTTGGTTTGTGGAAAAAAATGTTAGCTAAATCTGATTAAACAGATTTTTTCACTTTAAACCAACAGAATTATCGTGCGTTCCTTTCTTTTTTTTTAATAACTCGACGTATTTGACGTTTCTGGTATTCTAGGTGACCATTTCATAGAATATTGATTGTTAGGGTCTAACTTGGGTTGCATGCAATACGTCAGGATTATTATTTATGCTTCAAATAGCTATTTTATAATACCTTTTGTTATTTATTTTGGTAAATTCTCATCACTTTTGAAATTTCCGTCTGCTTTCAGCAAAGTTGGAGATTCCGAAAACTACCCAAAACATTAAATGTTTGGGAAGAACATTTAAGAAGTCTTGTGGTAGTCATTGAAGCATTATTCTTTGAGCAACAATAGTTAAGAAGTGGCAAACTTTTGCGTTGAACATTTGGTGCGCTAAACAAGCACATCTTGAAGTAAACATTGGCCAAACACGCCAAAAAATGTCAGAGAGTACAAATGAGACGTGCTTTGAACCGTTATTCTAAATTGATGTCGACATCTCTAGAACAAAAAAACATTCGCACATGACACATATTTTATTCAGATCTTTCTTAGGTACATAAGCAAAGTAACTCTCGATTAATATCAGCAAGAACGAACTTCACAACATCAGCAGATATGTCGTGAGTTTTACGAGTGGTTTGCGTCTCCTTTCTTTCTAAAGTACGGTCAATAGTGCAAAAACAACTAGCTTGTGAGAGATATAGACAGTTCCATACACCTTATTCGCCCTAGAAAGGGCCGTCAACATTTGCAAAACATCTCAGCCTGAACGCTTCATAGTTTAAAGGAACGATACGATTATTCGGATAAGGGCCTTCTTTAGTTCCGCGTAACTTGCACATCCTGCCCTTTATCCGCTTAACTGCTTGTAAACTTCGTTTTTAGTAATCTAGTAATTATCTCTATGTGATGATAGAAATCAGTCTACAACGCCTCTCATGTACCAATTTGTTGACGGAACCACATATCGGAGGGCCTGCTTCGAATTAGTGAACCGTCGATCCGCTTATATTTTAAATACATTGAAATAAAAAAAAAACAACGAAATATGTACAATTCTCATTCCATAACATGATTCTTATTGTGTTTGTATCTACAATACAATAATAAGCATGTTTCGAATATATAGTGAATCGTAGGTGACGTTGAAGTATGCAATTGCTTGAAGTAGGACAGCCATTAAAATCTGATTGTAGACCTCTACAAACAGAAGTAACCCAGCGCGATGAAGTTCAAGGTTTGTCATTTTATAATAAATGAAGAAAAGGCTACAAAAAAAGCGTTTCTGATGACTATGAAAAAGATTTTTTGTCCAATTTGACCGTAAGTTACTGTTATAATGGACTGACCGTTTTGGCCAGAGTACTTACATTATGTACTAAGTACCCTGCGACGAAACTAGTAGAATTATCCTACTAGTTTCAACCAACATCGAGTATACTCGCGGATAATATGTACTACAGAGTGGCTCCGTTCGTTGGTCCATTTAGCGCAAATGCAAGCTCAATATAACTGGAACCTTGGGTCTTTTATGTGTACTACATAGCTAACAGCTTTCCAACTATATAATTATAAATTTTCTTTCCAAATATACATAAGATTAACCAAACACCCCTCAAGCAAAATAATCTAACTAGGTGATATGTTAAATGGTTTCATAATGTCACTGTATATTAACGCTCAGCTGCCAGGATCAACCAAGGATAAAACACCATTTGTATTTAGTAAAAACAAAGTTAAATATTTCATAAGTGTTTATTCAGTTTACATAAAACACTGTAACTGGTTTATCTGGTCATGCGGAAGACAAGAGAGACAAAACTCCGATGTATGCTACCTAAATCATTACTCCCTTAATCCATTTGGTCAATGTACTAAGTAAGGTTACGATTTTTTTGCCATTCGCTGCAAAAATTGTTCTACTTGCTTGTCCGTTATGGTAACTCACTATTGCTCTATGAATACGTAACCGTTGCACTCTATAGTTAGGTATGTTTTCAGGAGACCTCAACAACAATTTCGATAGGTAGAAAACCAATACACATGAAGTATTTATTAGTCGATAATTCCAAGAAATTCGTGCAAGTTAATTAAGTTCACTAATAAGCGTTTGTGGCACGATATTGTATTCTAGCGGAGCCAATGTTCTTGCCACGTGGTCTTTGAGACGTAAGAAAATTTGGTGGCGCGGGAAGGGTAGCAAAAGGATGTTTGTAAGCCACAAATTTAGACTAGATTTCAAAACATGTGTTCGTATTAAGACAGACCACACATGAAAAAAACGCGCGGATATTTTAAAATAGTAAGTTCCGATTTTGATCGGTGTCATCTTGCCTCAACCGATCTTATGCTGTCGTTATCAGGATGATAAATACATTTTTAGCAAATGCTGTCAACAATGATGGCAAACAGATCAATCGAATTAGTGTATTTCTGATAAAAAACAAATTTGATTATTTTTATCCTGTTTGATGAAGCTATCATCTATTAAGCATATGGTGACTATAAATAAATATACGACGTTAAAAACATCACGAAAATGATAAGATATTTAAATCGTAATAAATCTTAAATATGTGATTAATATAGATGTTGTCCGAAATAGAGGGTCAGCAATCGTATCCTGAGGTCTTAAAATATTATAACATTTTAAAGCTATGAAACAAACAGGTTTTATGGGAAAATAAACTCATAAAACTCAAAGAAAACGGATAATATAATTCCACAATTAGGCCAACCAACAAGATTGCGAGCTGATTTTTCAGTCAATTATTAGTACTAATATATGGCGCATGATGTGTACAATATCATAACTGGAGAGCAAAGCTGCTCTGTGTTTTCTGTGTTTGGTAGGCTGCTATTTCAGCCAGCGAGAGCAAAGAAAATCCGTTGGCTAACTTGATTTCTTTATCAATTTTGGAACTTCTACTAAAGCAGTTCCACTGAAGCTACATTTTGTAATTGCCACTTTTTGGCTGCCTTTCCTAAACGCCTCATTTAAAACGTGTACAAAATATCGTATTAGTTAAGGGTGAGGCGATTTTTTTTTAATGGACGTTCCTGCTTTCACTTTTGTTACCATTTATCTGACTCTGTATGTGCTCAATGAGGTCCAGTGAAGACACACCCATAGCTTCAATTATTTCTCAACAACAAACATTATTATTACTATTCTTATATTACATCAACATTATATCATTTTATTATACTATATCATACTAGTTTCTATTACTCATACATTCGGAAAACATATAATTAAAACCTATCCTTTATTACTTAATTACTGTGATATTACATTTGTGCCGTTTTACGAACCGCCCGCTTAGTAGCTTAAAGGTCTCCATGTGTCGGTCTCGAACGAGAGCCGGCGTCTGTGCTTACCCGCTGGACAACAAAGGAGCTCGCCGTGTGCATTACCTGTGGTAATAGTTAGCTGCGGTCAGTGTTGCTACTATTGGCCAGTACACGCTCTGGGCAGTTTGTCTTCCACCGCCGTCTTCCCCCTCCAGCCGCTATTCGATATATGCGTGCTCCTTTACTTTTTGTGCGGATATGCTCCTGAGATTGTCAACGGACTGTATGTACTTGATTGGCGTCTGCGTTTAACGTTGCCTAGCTAATGCATTCGCCTTAAATTTGGCGCTCGTATCGATGCTGAGTACAGTAGGGTCGGTAATGCTCCTTGGAGGGTCAATTCGCTTGGGGTTTTTGTGCCATCTAGTCGGGAGCCAAAACAACAGGAAGAGAGGATAATATAAAAGACAACGACAACAATTATAAACAAAAAAGAAGTGACGAACGGAAGCCAACAATTTGTGTCAGTATCATTCACTCCCATCGAGCGCAACAGTGGCATCACACACAGCGTTACCTATCGTTGTGGCCTCTATCATCGTCGGTCCAGTCAAGAAAAGGTAGCAAAGGGATCACGCACATCGCTGCCCTGCGTTTAGCGCTGTTGTAGTAATAATTGTGGTATATGTGGTTACAGCAGGAAGAACCTGACATCTCGAGGTGTTGGGTTGCCTAACAACGGCCTAGCCCAGTTCCCGTAGCTTGGTGGCGTGCTTGGCTCATCGGTTAACTATTTGAGTGATCACATCATCAGCTGCCAGAGTGATCTATAAGCAACAATACGTTCACAGTTTTACTATGGCCTCACCAGATTTCGCACAAAGTGTCCAGGAGTTTAAAGAGATCACTGGTGCAGATGACAATCTAGCCACACAAATGCTACAGATCTGTCAAGGTAATCTTCAGATGGCAATCAATATGCACGTTGATGGTGGGGGTATTGATATCGGTGCAGAGGATACGACCCGGCCACCGAGCCCTCCACCTCCCAGCCCCCCGTTGGCAGCCGATTTTCCGTCGGCGAACTCTGGTAATCCGGCTGCCGGCTCCTCGAACGGTGAATATGTGCGCCCACCGTTGCCACCGAAGCAAGAAGTCCTTGTGGAATCATTCAGCTACGGAGCAGGATTTGGTGAGATCGACACGTCGTCTGGTGGTAGCCGGAGAGGTAACCGAGGTATTGTGGAACCGTTCCGGGATCTCCGTCGCGAGGCCCAACTGCAAGAGGAACACATGGAACGCGGTGTAGGTGGCCTGGAAAATTTAACGTCAGCCGCCCGAAGAGCTACCGCGCTCGAAGATCTATTCCGGCCCCCGCTAGACCTTATGTTCAAAGGGACATTGGACGGTGCCCGCGAAGAGGGCCGTCGTCGGAATAAATGGGTACTAGTAAATGTTGTCGACCCAACGAACTTTCCGTGTCAAGCGCTTAACCGAGACGTGTGGAGCGCTAGTTTAGTGAAGGATATAATTAAGGACAGCTTTATCTTTTGGCAGGTGTACAGCACATCGGAAGACGGCTCGAAATACAGTCGCTTCTATCCAATTGAGACGTACCCACATGTCGCTGTCCTCGACCCACGAACTGGGGAGCGGCAGCTGTATTGGTCAAAGATGGACGCGTGCACCTTCGCCGAACGCGTGACAGACTTTCTTGGTCGTAAGCCGTGCCCTGACCACTCATCGTTAAGCGCCTCGAGCACGGAAGCATCCGGTACTTTAGGTACAGCGCCACCATTAAAGAAGCCGAAAAGTAATTCTGCTATCCCACCGTCGATTGAAGAGATGGATGAAGATGAGCAGATGAAGGCGGCTATTGCAGCGTCGCTTCAGGGCCAATCCGTCGAAGCACAGAGCGATGCCGAGTCGCTAAAGATTGCCAGTGAAAGCTATACGAAGTACTTAGGCCCCGAGACCGACCCCAAGTCGGAGCTCATGTTCCGTTATCCTGATGGCGAACGGCGGGTTCACTCATTCCCATCGACGTCCCGGTTACGCGCGCTCACATTGTTCGCGCACGAACAGGGCTTCGCTGAAAGTAGCCACGAACTTGTCACCAACTATCCACGAAGAAATCTGTCAGAGTTGGATTCAACATTGATGCTCAATGAAGTTGGACTGTTCCCTAAGGAAACGATCTTCATTCAGCTGCGCTCCGCTTAAATGCCCAGTGCTGAAGAATAAAAGGATCTTGTTCAATGATACGACTGATAATAGTAATAATGATGATAATAATAAGAAGATACAGACTAAAACAAATGAAGAAACAGATAAAGAAAAAAAGGGAGGGGAAAAGGCACGGTTTACTAACAACAAACAGTAAAGAAACACTGAAACACACGATAAAAACATACATACACGATTGACTACCTTTCTAAGTTCAGCAAGTACGTTCAGACCAAAAGACAGATCAACAGACAGACCTTGTATCCTGTGCACTGCTTTATTTCGTGGAAATCACCTACGCGGCAAGAGAGAACGTCAACATGCAAATAAATGAACAGCTGCGGAAGCCCAAACAGCCACCAGCCGCGCGTCTTCACAAGCAGCAACTACAACGACATCAATTGCACGGAAATAATTAAAAGGTGATGACCAGTGAATGAGAAAGAGATACAAAAAAAGCTAAAGAGAGAGTTCTGTAATTGTACGAAAAAGGAATTATGAAAACTAGTGAAACCGTCTCCCCGCTTTGTTCGGGGGCAAAAAAAAACAAATACAACTTCAGATGTCGGCAGCAGATGGAATGAATCAAAAGTGTGAATAAAAAGTGTGTATCCGGTCGTACCTGCAGTCGCAGTGTTCCACCAAACCGAGCGAAACTCAGCGTCATGGATTCATTAGCTTCGTATGAGAGATAAGTGAATTGGGTCTTTATTTGGCTTAGTACTTCACAGGAGCATTGTTTAGGTCTGCGGGCCGATAAACCAGTTGGGGCGAAACGGAAACGAACAGAATTGGTTCTGTGCTAAATCCACTAGGTAGCTTCAACAACAAAAGAAGAACTAAGTCATGAGCTTCCCTATTTATGATAATATATGTGATCTAAGTTGTGGGTTTGCTGGCGCCTTTATTCATTCCCGCCAGTCGAAATTCAAATCGGGTAAAACAAGACCTAAAAGCGTTGATAGCTAAGAGATGTCATTGTAAGTCGGTTGTATTAATAGTGGTTTGAAGTTGAACCGAATTTGTATTTCAACCAACTAGTGATAATATATATATCACTGATATATGACGTGAAGCTGAAGTTTTGTTTCAGAGGGTTGCGACCTTTCTAAATTAATAGTTGATCTAAAATTCAATTCGGTTAGCAGCAGTCGTTTGCCACGTTGCTTGTTTATTTCTAATTAGCGGCGACGGTGGCAGCACTAGCATCGTGATATCTGTGAATCGGTATTCGTTGAGTGACAAAAGCTAATCCAGTACAAATACTTGAATTTCAAGCGATGGTAGGAATATAATATTGCTGATAATAACAGTAGCATTTATTAGTTAATAATTGTGGCTGCGTTTCAATCGACGGTTAGCTCGGCAACAACAGAATGAACAACCGGAATCCAGCCTGCTATGCCAGTAGCAATAGCAGCAACGGCGGCGGCGGCGGCGACGATGACAGATACAGCCATAGTCACAGAAATAGGTAGCGTTTCTTAATAGCAACAATAACGGTCGTAACATTACGACGGCAGCCATGACGATGCTGTCATATGAACTATCACACACATCTATTTACCTGTAGTAGCTCCAGCAGCGCAAAGGGTACTGGTCGTGCTTATGGCGGTCATTGTACGCGGTACGCATTGCGTGTAGACTTCTGCGCAGTGAGTAACTGCGCGTGCTTGGTTAGCGAGCTTTCGGCCACTAACAGGACAGTAATCAGTTAAACAACATCGCTACGATGTCCGAGCAGAGAAGGAGAGCGTTGTCGCCACTTGACTAGCCGTAGTCAGCCATCAGCAATAGCAAACCTACTCTAAGCTAGCTTGCAGCAGTGTCGCCGTTCGTTCGCCATTGGCGTCTCTTTGACTTTTTGCAATAGTGCTCACAATTGTAGTTGCTGTAATAGTTACAATAGCGTTCTGTGTAGCAAAGTATATACGCGTCAATTCTGTTGCGCCATAAATCCGCAGTCGAGTCGGCGAAAACAGAACCTGATGACCGATAGCAGGCGTTATAGTGCGACAGGCATGTAGCCAAAGGTCTACGGAACCATGAGCTAAGGACCTAGCAAAACCGTATGGCGACCCAAACCGTAGGCCACACTCAGATAGTGGGTTCAATACGGCACGAAATGTTCTGCTCTGCATTATTCTGCGGTGCGTGCGTGCGCGCGCAGCCATCGAATACTCTGAAATGATAACAAAGTCCTGTACACTCTCATTATACATTAGAGAACTTTTGTGTGACGGATGATGACGATGTTGCGATTGACGCTAAGATTTTCTGTTTATGGTCACCGGTGGACTTTTTTCCGGTCGCCTTATAAGATAATAAGGACTGTATAGAGTGACGTAGAATAGGTAATCACCAATGTTTTGCTGGTCAATGTGGTTCTTCAGCAACTGGTTCTACCATAATGTGTTCTACTTTATGCTAGAATTATTCTAATAGATCGAATAGAAGTAGTCTAATGCAGTAGAAAAAAGCAGTGCATTTTCGTACTCCTCTATGCGTCGGACCCCTCATTCGCTTCCTGCCTCCGACCCCCCCCCCCCCCGCCCTTATGAGAACTCCGTCGGACGCAAAGACTGCGAAAGAGATAATGAATGAAGGCAGAGCTAACAAACAAAATGACAAACTAACAAGTGAACTGATCAACGCTCCTACAGATGACAAAGACAAGCCGCAGAAGATTCGCAACGAGACGAGTGTGGCACGGCAGATCTACTGGCACGTATCAACGCACTGTCATACTAAAAACCAACGAAATAACGCTAGTTGTATGGAGAGAGCCGTCGGAATAGGCCAGCAGCAGCAGCTCTGCTGCTATACATTTGTCCATCCACCCGCAACCCGTCGCTGAGGCTGTCGACGCCAGTATGCCTGCTTAGCTTACGAAGTTCATTGTTGACAAAGTTGCCGACAGGTGGAGCTACCAGTAGCGAATACGCCAACGAAACAGAATATAATACAAAACGAAAACAGGAGAAAGAGTAGGAGAACGGGAGCGCTTCTACGAGTGAGCGGGAGTTACAAAGAGTGAAAAAGCAGCACGCATGCTTCAGTGGAGGGCGGCGAGGTTATAGCGACGGCTTTGGCGGTGCTGGTGGGAGTAGGCGCCGTGTCAACGCAACGTTAACGACGTCAGCGATGTCGCCAGTGCTTACCGCTTACTACAACTACCACAAGGAGCAAATATTACCTACAATTTTTGTTGCTGCTGCTGCTACTTGGCGTTATGCAGAGCGGCCCACACTAGCAGTCGCTGCTGCTACGGCGGCCGCGGTACACTGTATAGGCTAGCGACGGCGACGAATGCGGCGGCAGCCACGACCACAGCAGCAGCGGAGGCGGCCGTCTGAAGCGCCACCACGCGCGCTTCTGCTGCCTGTTCCAAACGGCCTGTAGCTGTTACTGGTGCTGCTGGTTTGCTGGTTGTTTGCTTACTCGGTCGGTCGCTGACTGGCGCTTGCTGGTTGTGTCTTGCCGCCGCTGCTAGTGCCAGCGCCGCCGTTACTGCCTCGCCAGCGCCATCCGGCGGGCGCTCGCTTGACTCCTCTGCGGAGCGCAGAACTCTGGGAGCGGTTGCCGATGCCGGTACCCAACGTGTGACGCTGGCGAGGACAGCTGTGCGCCCGCGATATAGCTGTTTGTGTCGTGCCGCTTGTAGCGATATGATGATCGTTGTATCTGCGCGACGTCGCAATGGTCGGCTTACGGGCCGGCCGATTAGCCAAGCATCGATGTGTATTGGGCGTCCATTTAGTGCTTTGTGCGGCAACGTGTACCGAATAGAAGAACAGAAGCAGCAGCAGCAGCAGCAGTCATAGTCGTCATAGTATAGTGGCGGCGGCGGCGGCGGCAGCAGTAGCAGGGTCCGATATAGTTTAACGATGCTATGGTATACAATCAAATGCCTAGTACGATTACATGACGGTAGAGTACTCTGTCCTGCCGTCGAAGTTACAAGTGCTGGTGCCTGTTATTTCATTTAGCTCGAACGTTGCGTATGGCGGTGATCTCTGCACGCTGCGCTCCGGTGAGGCCAGGCTGCTAGGCCAATGCTGGTAGCAGTGCTGGCTATCGCTTTGTGTGACAGCCTTGATGCAGGCAGTCTCCACGTACAACTTGCAATTGTAGCACGACGCTATTAGTTGTTGTCGCTGATGATGCTGGTGAATGTTATTATTGGTATCGCTGCTGTTGTGCATTAGATTTACGACGAGTGCAGTGGCGACAGCCGTGTGCGACTGCTGCTGCTATTGGTTACAGTGGAGTCGGCGATGTGCTTCGGCGTGTTCACCTCTTCCATCGTCGTGTATGGCCGGTCGGTTGACCTTATGTAACGTAACAGCTATACGTGCTACGGTTGCGTGTTTAGCTCTTATAGTTGTTCAACATTGTTTGGAATGAGTCTAGAGTGCGTACGTCAATGAGTGAAAAAAGAAAGTGAGTACTGGCTGTAGGTCGTGTCGTGAAGCGACCGACGTTCACTGGCACTTTCGTGTCGCGGAGTGTGTTTATCGTGTCGCCGTCGTAATACCCCAACCGTTCACAAGCGCGAATGAGCCAGCCCGCCAACAACGACGACGACGACGACTATGACAGGGGAATCTTGAAGTGGTGAGCCGGACGCCTATTTAGTGGTTTAAGCAGTCCGTGGACGACAGCTTTCCCATTTTCGTGTGTGTATAAGGAATGCGTGCATGGTGTATACGCCATGTAAGATAATATAGGTGATAACTAACAAGCATTAATTGAGCTGGTCGTGACCATTTGTGAGGCAGTTGTCTTGTTCCCTCCACCTCGCGTGAGCAGTACCGCGTCCCTTCGACACGTGCGTTCAAGACGGGGAAGGAGAATTAACATTGAGTGTACGTATGATGTGCCAGTGTATATGTTGTTGAAAAAATCCTGCTTTTCCTCTGGAAGTTTGCGTTTTCAATGGTGGCTTATTGGCCGGGAAGGCTTCTAGATTGGCAATTTAGCCATAACAGCTTTCAAAGTGGTTTCGTATTTCGTCTTTTGTTTAATGTAGATCTTTTATTTTGAAAAATGAAAAAGGGGATTCTGTTTGATGTTCGAAAAAGGTGCGATCGTACGCTTGAATTTAAATCCATATTGGCAAAAAAACAAAAATCAAAGTAATAATTCATAAATGAAGCATTAAATCAGCCCCTGTTGGCATTCAACGCAGAGAACTGGATGTGCCAACTACTATCAGTAAAACGCTGTTTTCTTCTTCCGATCACAACTAACAACAGACCAGTTATATCAATTCAATACGGTTTCCTCCTCTCCACCCCGCAATTATTTGTAATAGATTGATGGAATCCTTTTTTGACGATAAAAAAAGTCAATCATTTGTTGCCAGCTAATGACGAGGCTATATCATCCGCTTATTCACTTACCATCATCACTACTCCGACCAACGATTGTATTTATCGCCTATGCGATATATAAATCAGTGCCATCCCTGACCTTCTGGGCTCGCTGACGACCCGGGGCCACTCCCTGCGAGATCCGCTATACCGATCAGCGGCGGCACGGTATGTTGTGTAGAAGATGCGTTTGTATCTTTGGATCTTTAAATGTGTGGTTGTGAGCGGTTGTGTGTTTTTGTGTCAGTGGGAAGAGCAGGGCAAGGGAGGGGCAGCTGGGCTCATAATCGCATCATACGCGTATAACTGTTCTGTTCCATTTCAATATACCTGTTTGCCGTTGTTGTTGTTTTGAGTAGTAGTGCTTGTTGGTGCTTACCGACCGATAACTTTATTGTCTTTTGATATTTACGCGCTGGCAGCGGTAATAGCGACGCCTTTTACTCAACTCAGTTTTCTCCTCGTTAATCACTGTACCGCTATAATGAGCGTCGTTGTACGATGGTATATTCCATCGTTATTATTATTCCGTTATGCTCGTGCTTGGCCGATGGGTCGCATCTCGGCCCGTTCTTTTGCCCCTCAGTTACGACGTCGCTGGCAGCCAGTAGCAGTAATGCTGCTAGAGTGGCCTACACGATTGTTTCAGTCATCAGAGTCAGGCTGGCAGCCTCTGTCTCTCATCTGTCTGTACGGTCCCTCTGGTTGTGTCATGCGATTAAGTAAGCACAAAAAGAGGACTACCATTATGTGCCAGAGCAATCGGTGGATGTTTGTCGGAACAAGAGTCGCCTGCGTTTGCTGTATACCCCAAAGAACGGGTAATGCAGCGTCTCCGAACTTAACCGAGGGCCATAGCGAACCAGGGGATGGTTGCGCTGCTTCCATTGCTACAGGAAAGAGGCATGGCCACCGTCACCACACAGAGGCTGCTGGTGCTCCGCTACTGTTGCTGCTACCGATGCTGTTGGTATCGCTTCAGTGCGTCACAACAAACAACATTAAACACTTCCCTTACTACACACTAATGGGACCGCGGACGGATAGGCGAATACTCAGTATAGATCTTGTGCGTGATGCCAGCGTCGTTAGTAGTCGCTGCTACCGCGGCGTTCAGACTGGCCCTTACATATATATTATAACAGAGTGCGGTTTTCCATGGTTTGGCTATCGTCGGCGTCAATAGCGGCGACTGCTCGGATGTTCGATATTTCTGTCTGTCCGTATTTATCAACTATACAATTACTGCCCCACTGTTCCTTCTGTGCGAGGGTATAGTTTGTCTATGATATGTAACATTCGCCCTTCTCACTGTTTATCGTTCTCTGTATTTGTATGCGCGTGCGTGCGGCGTGATCTGTGCTGTGTCTTGCTGCTGATGCAAGCTGATGGTGGTGGTGGTGAGTAGTGGCTCACGCGTCTCTACCCCTATGTGGCGATTCTCTATGAGTGAGCTCCGCTGTATACCAAAGCAAGCAAGTAGACGTAGATAAATGGACTACTCTGTCTGTCCGTGTCTACGAAACCGAACGTCCACGTAAACGGACATACAATCAGCCAGCTATTACTAATGGACAGAGTCCAAGTAGAAGCCTGATAGAAATAGAAACGCTAGTGGCAGAGATAGTACAGAGAGGTACAATTAGTCGTATAATCATCTACGTAGTTATAATCATAATAATAAAAACAATACAAATTAAAAGAACAAGAATGGATAAGCGAACGTGGTATGCACCAAACGTGTTTATGTGCCTGCTTCCATTTGATTCTACAACATCTGCATACGTATACTGTTATGAAGGTAGCCGAAGTAGCAGTTGCATCTGTTTATTATGTTTTTTGTTGTTGAGCCGCTGCTGGCTGTGACGTTGCTGTCTTCGTTGTTGCCCTCACATGGTCGTTGTTACCACCGTCACGATGATGTATCTTAGACCCTTTACCGTGCTGCTGCTACTGCTAATCCTAATACGGTCACTGCAAAAATTCACAAGAAGAAATTCTGTATGTTATGATCCGTTAGTCCTGAGTATCGATAGGACTTCCTCCCCACGATCTACGTTTTTATTGTATTCGGAGAAAAAGCGGACGGATAGCGATACCCGTTATCGAGTGTGTAGTGTAGTTTGCTATCCTTGTAGTACGGGGCTGAGCTAGACAGGGAAGCTGCCGACCACCGGCATATAGGGGCAGTTACACCTTTTAGTGTCATATCTCTCTGTTTTGTTGCCAACAGCAGCAGCAGCAGCAGCACTCAACTAAGCCTCCGTTGGTTTACCTTACGTTCATCGTTGCCATTTTCTTCTTTAGTGGAACATGCGAGGAAAGAAAAAAAGAGATTGTGGAAGGGCGCGTTTTCCTCTTTACCTACCAGGCTACGTAAGCAGGCGCCCAAGACCTGGCCAAAGGTCCAGCAGCTTTATGCTAAGACAGCTGGACCTGGCTTGAGTCCCATGGAACGCTCCCTCCGTTCGTACAAAGCACCAACATCATTACTACAACTGTATGCCAATGCTGCAGGCATAGATGGAAGAATGCCAGAAGCTGTAAGAAAGAAGTGAGTGACCATGGTGGGCGCTCCTCGTCGCTGATCTCTGTTTGTTTCTAGTCTACACTATACTACCCACATAAGTACACAGCCAGCTTTCTATCAAACATCTACGACGGTACGATGCTGCCAAATGGAGGCAAGGAGGGTTGCTGCCGACCGTACTACCGCTATTATAGCGCAACTAACAAGCATGATCATCGTTGCCGCCCAGAATCGGCTTGTTGTGGCTCGTAGCTCTACGTAGTCTGTAGTACCATCGCGATTAGACAGCTTATAAGAGAATGTAGGAGAACGAGCAGAACCTGGCGCACCATTGGCCATTGCTGGTCGACGAAGGGAAAACCCTCGTCCACTAGTAATGGCCTCGAAAGGGAGGCTGGATTATATATACGGCACAGCCATCATCACGGTAGTATCGCACTACACTGCGATCGCTTTCCAACATGTCACGCATGTCCTAGCGTGCTGGGCGGGTATATATATAAACTTATATGTGCGTATGGTGCATTAGGAACCGTTCCAATGTTCTGCTGTACTCTTTTCCCGGGCCATGTGCTCGATATGTCTATCTGTGAACTACTACCGCTATACGACAGCTTAAGCTATTCATTTTCCCTCAGTGCTCTACTGCGCACACATAGGAGCAAGCACTCAGCTGTTACGCTCTACGCTTAGTCAGGAGAGGCAGTAGGAGAACTTAAAACGCCAATGAGAGGGCGCTGGAGGGCCAAGCACAGGCAATGAACAACAACAATAAGTACAGCAGCAGCGGCCGCCATATGCAGCCAACCAGCAGCCTGTGAGAGCAGCACTACGTTGCTTTTGCTGCTGGATCGTCGCCAGCAGCACGACCACTACAGCAGTCACTGCTGACAGCGACTAATTCGTTGGCGCTCGACGTGACGCCAGCTCTGACTACTGACGACTAGCGACTACATACCTATATGCTGCCGGCTACTATGACTAGCTGTGGGCTGTAGCTCTTCCGACGACGGTGCAGACAGATCTTCCTATGCTTTTCTTCCTTTTGGCTTCTTTCTTGCTGTTGCCGCTTAGCTTTTAGGCTTGGGCTCTCCTACTTGATCCTCTCATTCGTTTGGTTCGTAGTTGATCGGAACAACGAAGGAATGGACGATTCTTCCCTGGCCTCCGTCGCTTTGCTGTTCTCCTCAACAGCGACCGCGCCAGCAGTCGCGATAGCGGCACCATCACCTCCATCTTATGCCCATACCCACATACGCTCGCACGCATAGATACGAACCCATACGGTATTCCCTTCAGGCGTGTTCCTCCGCTAGTTGTGCTTCTTTGTCGTCGTCGTAGCGGGCGTAGCACACAACAGCGACAGCCGCAGGCGGCGTGTTGTAGTAAGTAGGACTCTGATATGCTGGTATGTTGTCCAGTTTCAAGGAGTGAACACATTCGTCCTTGCTTTGCCTGGCCTGTCGGCGGGGCTAGCGTATTGCTTGCTACCATTGCTAAATACACACATGTCTGCAGGAAGACGTACCATTGCTATTATTACTGCTTCTTTTGCTACTGACTCTGTGCGCAGTTGCAGATTCTCTATTTCGTTCTTTGTGCAGCAGCGCTCCCGTAGAGACAACCAGAGTAGAGAGATGAAGGTGGTAGATGTAATAGTGAAGGCGGTGCTGGTGAAAATATTATGTTCCGTTCACAGAGAAGCTCTCCTGCGTAGCGTGTTTCTGCTGCTGTACGAAGAACGAATATACAGCGTTGTGAATTGACATATCCTTATTCTCCTCGTTGTTGTTTCTATCGTCTGGATAGTTGACGTGACTATGTGCCCTGAGGTGTGTGCATGTGTTGGCGTGCTCTGTTCCCTAGACGTAGCTGGCAGGTCCTGTCGGTTTTCGAGAGCAGCGAGAAAGAGCCCGGTCGTATACGCACGAACTCTTGAGGCACTTCCTCTAAGCAGTGCAGTATGCGCTGAACGTGTTTAAACGGAAAGCGAATTTTCAGGTACCTGGTACACTATTCAAGATTTCTCATCATGGAGGTCTATGTTGGTCGTTCATGAAATTAGTATGAAGTTTTTCAACGTTTCCTTAATATGCCGTTTCATACGGATGATCGTGTCAATTTCGACTGTGAACATGCTTGAGCAGTGCTGTATTGTTTGAGGCGGATCTGTAAATTGATTTATACATGAAATGTATTTCGTTTAGGACATACCGACATTAGCCGGACTAAGTTTCGTATGGTAGTGGCGTGTCAGATGCGGTTGCATGATTTCGTAATCTTGGAAGATACAATGCGTAGTGATCTGATGCGTACATAGCGCAATGTAACAAATGTCTTCAGATCCTTAAGTGTTCACACACAACTTATTCGTGGAAAATATCGGTGCTACAAGTAATGTCAGTTCTATTAAATGCTGTATCGATGGCCTTCGACTCCTCGGAAACTGTGCTCAAAACTCGAGAAGTATCATTGAGACCCTTACAAACTCGTCATGAAGGTGTTTTGTGGGCACGTATGGTACTATTTGCGCAGATATACAGTCGTACAGATATGTCATGCCCTTTTATGTTTGTTTGCCTTTTCGAGGAATCGTTTGACTGTGTGTTTGTTGCTCTACAGTCTGCAATCGAATATCGCAAGTCTTTGAAGATTTAATCGTCGCATCCTTTCCATCCATCTGTCAGCCATAGCCCCCGTAGGGGCCACCGATGGGTTGTGTACCACTGGCACTATTACCGCCAGCAGCATTCGCGGCATTCGTTCCTTTACGAGTCGAGCCGCGGTGAACACGACACGAAACCGACGGGGAGGAGAGAAAGATACGGCTGTGGCTGGCTATCCTCTATAGTTGGTGAACAGCCCCAGCCACAGTTTGATCAGCAGACAGCACACGCTGATTCTGGACAGCACAACAATTCCCAACGAACAGCGAATGGCAAGTAACAGAGCGTGGTATGACAACGCTCCGGCAGGAGACACTGTTGGTAATACCGCTGCTATAGGAGGAGATGACAGAGGTGGACATGGTGCTAGCGAACAAAGCAGCAGCAGTAGGCCTAGCGACTGCAGCGCTCCAGAATAGTGTATGGAGCAGGACCGGACTGGCTGCGGTACGGCCGATATAAGCAGCAGGATCAGATTCGACTCTCAGATCAGGCCGAAGCCGCTCCGCGCTTCGCTTGGCGCAGTGCCTCGAGTACAACTCGTGTTCCATTTACCGTACTCGACTAATTGAACTTTGCTGGGATTGCATCATTGACTATTGATTTTACAGACTAGACTGTGGGAGAGAATACGATTAGACCCTATTCTAGCTAGTAAGTTTAAATAGTTAGCCAGGAATGAACTAGTCAAGCGAGTGGCGGTCCTTCCGTTGCGTTCTATATTATTTTGCTTTGTCTGGTGATATACGATAGATAGCGGTTACCTGACAGAGTAGCAAAGATTATTTTCTATACTGTTCGGATGCTATATAAGGAAAACTTCTAAGCTTTTTCTAACTTCGAGAAAAAAGATACAAGTTTATATGCGCAGATAATTAAGACAGGGCAACTCGCGTTACTTATGATCAGTATTCATCTCTGCTTCAGCGGCTATACGCAGAAGTCAGAATTTAAAGAACTAAAGGTGAACAAGGCTTGATTAGTGCATAAATAGATTGTAGACTAGATTCGAGATAGCGACAGCTAGAAGACGACCGCATTCGAAAAACGCACGCTGAAACAGACTTCATGTTCAACAAAGATATCTGTTTTACACTCAAGAGTCAAAAACTCGTTGAAAAATGGATCAATGCGATGCCAAAATTCGATAGAGCATCCTCAGAAAATCTTACGTGCATGTATTCTCGGATTTTTTCTGTGGAACTGTTACTTCATTGGCTTTTGCGTGACTTCCACAATCATGCGTTCCGTGTTCCAGTATCGGATTTAGCTTCTGCATTAGTTCATATTGCTCTGATGAAGCAGAGGGGGTAGGTAAAATTTTCTTTGTGCAAAATTTAACATGGAATGCTGCGACTTCGAGGAGTGTATTGTGGGTGAAGGATTTCTCTGAGTGAAGCCATGCGCCAGCTACTATTGAAAGAGATAACAACGGCAGCCTCTTTGAACCAAGCTAAATCTACCATAACGGCGTACAAGATCAACAATGAAACGCTTCCCAATCGATGTGTACGTGTCGGAGTAAACAGATATTCCGAAATGGACCATGTAACTGCCTCATTAGTGTGTGAAGTTCCGATGCCGTGTAAATGACTTCATGCGGAGAATGAAAGAAAGGTCTTGGTTCTGTGATTCGGAGTGCCTTTGTTAAAGGAGAAGTGCGCCTGAATTCTAGGTTAAGGTGCCGCTATTAAGGCACGAGGAAGAGCTCTGAGTAACAAAGAAGGTCAAAGTTTCATTAGTGCTTGTGTTCACGTAAGTATCGATATGTCCACGAGGAAACGCATATCGGTGGCTATTTGTGAGTTTCCGTGATCGGTTATTCTGAAACAACAGTTGCTGCGATGGAGGAGAATAGAGAATGATGAAGAGCAAACGGCTTTGATAATAATGCCCGAATGGAAAACAAGTTAAATAAAAGATTTTAGTCAGATATTGGGAACCGCCATCTGAACTGAATTTCGTTCAGCGTTGCCGTTCTGTTGAAGCGTCCTATGAAAGAAGACATACAAACATAATTAAGAGCACCTCAATAACACAGTTGTAACAATTAATGAAATATGCACACAAGACAACAGGAATTTGGGAACTATTGAGGCATATGGATGAATCGAACTGGAATAAATAGTCAAGTGAGTTTAAACACACCGTATAAGTAAATGATTCTCTCCCTCTCTCTCGCTATATATATATATATATATATATATATATATATATATATATATATTGCGAGAAGAAGCGATAATATACGCGTAATATTATATAACTAATAATATTAATAAGAATATTATAAAAATAAGAAAAACAACAGAACAATAAATAGAAGTAAAAAAATAATATTGCAGATTGTGGCAACGATGACGATTATAACTATAATAATGCTACTAACAGTAATATAGTGACTATGTGCAAGTAAAAAAAATTATTTGTAAATAAAAAAAGATAGCCACTTGGTTTTGAAAGGTGCCCAAAAGTAAAGAAGTGTTTTTCTACTGCAACCTCACTCTATAATACTCCTATATTCTATGTAGTAGTAATGAATGAATAAAACTTGTAGCCAGAGAGTTTACGCAGAGCCGTGCGTCCAGTGGTTTTGTTATTTGTAGGCAAAAGTATTAATATATATGTATCAATATGCGGGTCAAATGAGTTATATCAGCGCGAAAAGCTATTGAGTGGTCAGATAGATGATTGGGCGACATCGTATTTTTCGGAGTGCGATGCGTTTCTGTTCTCTCAATAAAATGAACTAGAAACTAAAGATATTGCTGAAATTTATTGCAAAGTAAGTTTTGAATTTCTTCTTGAAAATCAAACGACGTCATACTACGATCTATTTTTTTTTTTATTAAATTTGAAACTGTCTCTAGTCGCTAAATGTATTATATGCGAGTATTATATAAAATAACGTTGTGATCTATACGTTCACCCTGATCTGGTGATGTCAAATGCATTCTGTCTTATTTAAGTTGCTTTAGCACAAAGTTTTCACACTTAGACTCACATAGTTATACGTATACTGTATATTGTTTTCTGTGTAATTCTGTTTGTTCACTGTGGAGGCATCGAAGTAAAGTTACTTAGTCAACTTTTTAACGACACGCAAGGTTGACAATAAACATGTAATCGACTTATTCCTTAATAAGTTTAACTTAAGTAAGTTTATTTAACATAACACGCGTTACTTAGAAGACCTTGTTGTTGGAAGCTAGACTTGAATATATAGTAAAATCTTGTGGCCTCACTTACTTCGAGTCCTTTTCTCGGGTTAGTAATGCACGGTATTGCTCAACAATGATTGACAACAACGACAGACTGTTAAGTTGTTTTGCCTTTAATTATTATTCATAGTCAATCATAAATTCCCAAAATATTTTGAAAAAGAGAATCTTGCGGCAATTTACTAATAAATGATACTCAAAATGTAACAATAAGGTACACGCAAATATCTAGATAGGAACAGGTACCTACATTTTACTTTTGTTAGTCCCTATTACAGCCCTATGTCATGATAGACATATTTAACATTATTGAGATTTAATCGCGTAACACTTACAGCTTGAGTTACTAAAATTTGTGTTTTTATTTCAGATTGGCTTTCGTTCTTCATTCTTCTTTCGTTACTCCGTTTTGCTCGTCGTTATATTTCTCAACAGGATTTGATATCTAATTTAAGCTTACCGCTCACGTAGAGATCTAATTTTTGTTGGATTCCGTATCTATATTAACTTTTAGAAAGAAGGCAGTGAAGAAAATGGCACTAAGCAACGTATCTATCTATCGAAGTCTTGATCTAATAATTTTGTGCTTAGTGATCTTTATATCTTTTATACTCTTCTTATTAAGGATCAGTCTAACAGGCTAGCACTTAGCAAGTATAAATCGTCAAGTTATGATTCAGTTTATCAATTCAGGTTATTTTACTTTGTTTCTAAGCGCATCATCGATCCAAAATATTATAGTAATTGAAAGTACATCCAGAGTAACTTTTTATGAAAAATACTCTAATAAACTTATTAAATTTGGCTGTCGCTCATGTGTACCATGGCTTAATATTTTCAGTTATACGATTCAGTGATGTTAATCCAGTGAAATGCAGTTTGTTAGTTTCCATCCTTACAATGCCGTTGACAACGAATGCAAAATAAAAACTGATCTCACAGACCTTCGTGCCTTATGCTATAGAGTAGCTAGATCTTACTGACGTCGCCATTATCGGTTATCACTACTGTCTTCGTTTGTTTCGTTTGACCTCATCTTCGTGGTTCTGTTCGCGTAGAAGTTGATCTTTTTTGCAACGGTCACACTCCCACTTTGCCTTTATCAATGGAATTATTTAAAAGATTGTACGTCCTTTTTCACTCCTATTTGTCATCTGCGTTCTAACGTTCTTTCTAAGTGCACCCTTCTCAGTTTGTCGCCCCCCCGTCCCCCGTCCCCCTCCCCCGCCCTTCTCTGTCTTTTCTTTTCTGTAAATTTTCTCAAAGACAACTTCTACATTATTCGGCTCTCTTAATTTTACGGTCATCTCCGAACATCCTTGTAAGAAGTGTTCCTAAAACTTCACCACTCATTCTAAGTTACTTTCTCCTGTTTTGACAGACTATTCTGCACTTATTTCTCCTGTTTCGTCTTTTATCAATTAACACAAAAACTACATGACCCCCAGCATCATAATCAGCTGCAACCAACGTTTAGCCAATAGCTAGAGGTTACGTTTGATACGACAACCTACATTCTATCCTATGAGCTAAACAAAGGAAGCGCCCGATGCCTTTTCTACTGCATCCAACAACAACAAACGAAAGGTCGGGTCGACGTGTCGGCGCCCGCTTGTTCACTTCGACCCATCCGTCCACAACCTTCACCAACCTAAACGCCTACTCTATGTGTTCCTCTCACTCAAGCACAACGTCCTTCAATGACCAACTGATCTACCCAGTCTATCCAGCACGATCCCACGATTCCTTCATCACACGGTATCCCCAGTCTCTCCGTCTGTACAACTTAACTATCGATCTACCTACACCCACTCACCCACGCATCATCTACCTATTCTTCTACAACTTCGTAAGTTTCTCGAATTGTGTACCACTGTACTGAAACTGCTACGCTTTCCCGTGGATTTTATCAAAACTACCTACCTACCTACTTGCCTACCCGGTGCGTTCGTTGTTAAGTAGTGGTGTTATGTTTGCTTTTAATTAGAAGGATTTTTTTAACTTTGTTTTAAACACGCGTATGATAGAGTGAATCAAGTTCAGGTCACATCATGTCAAGTGTAAGGTTTCCACATTGCTTTATTTGTCGTTTATTGATTTAATATTTATCCATAACTTGATTTAGTTTGCTTTACAACGTCTTAGTTTCGTATCCATGCTGTTCAGAACTTCGAAGATTAATTCCATTTCATTATTAGACGGTTAATACGCTTAATGTTTCTATTTGTTCATCATCTGGCAGGCGTCAACCATAAGGACAATGGTACACCAAGCGTACTAATAATATTTCCTGCTATACACTGTCCCAATTGCACTCAACCCAGGTTTCAGGCAACTTCTCGCTGCCTTGACACCCTTTCACCCTCTCCAATCCTTCGATGAATTCACAGTGTTGCACATGAAGCGTACACCCTCTATTTTGGTTGGGAGTTTGCGTTACTTCTATTCTTATAGCTTCGTCAAACCTCGGCTTGTTTGCCTTTAGTAATGATTTTGTCGTTGTTATTTTTTTCTGTTTTTCGTTTTCTCATTATGTACTTCGTTGTTCTCGTTTTTGGTTGACGCGATTCGTTTGCAACGTGGCACCCGCCGTTCATCGCCATCATGCAATTGTTCCGTGATAATCCATTTAGGGACGAGTTTAGGTACAGTGAGCATCCTTAGGAAAGGTTTGGCACAACTTCAAGCCTTGTCGTTATTTTCGCTAGCGGCCCAACAGGCTCAGGCAGGGGCGGCTGGGGCCCAGGAACCTACATCGTCGACACCTAATTCGCCCTCAATTCGACGCGGAGGAAAGATCTGCTCGATTTGTGGTTACCAGGCGTCAGGAACTACGGCATTGGAAGCGCATATACGCGTCCATACAGGTTGGTGGCTTGTGGGTTTTGAGTTTAACTTTTTTCCAAGTTAAAATTTTTTTCTCGATTCTCCTCAAACACGTATTTTTATGCAACCTTCATGCCTGCTTCGATCCAAAACGTCGTTAATTTCAAATGGGGATTCTTTCGAAAGTCAAACTAGCTTCTTATCGAGTCTAGAATTGGAAGAGGGTTATTTTTGTTTTCCCGCGTCTAGAAATTTTCATTTTGAGACGTTCCGGTAGCATGGACTGGAATGGCCAATAGGCAAGGACGAACCGAGCACACTCGCAGTGGATGAAAATGGGAGGCCAAGGCTTTTTTACATTTTTATCGTATACATACAATGTGAAATTAAACGACATGTATGAATTATGGAGTAGCGACTAAAAAACAAATCTAGAGAACGGGCTTCGAGTTCTCAGGTTAAGCCTGTTCTGAACTTGCCCAATATGATCTAGACACTTCCGTGTTTGTGTAAATACAACTGCTTTTTGCCTCATGCAAAAACCCTAACTTATCGGGGTCACCAATCCCTGTTGTCTGATTAGTTCTGTATCTGATATGACAGCGACAGTGGGTATACGTGTTCGCGATTGTTTCAAGGGTATTTATCAGGGGCCAAGTTGATTTTTGCTGAAGGCATTTCATATTGAGTATACTACTCTAACCGCCTGACCATCGGCGATATTGGGCTCCCATAGATGACATGATATTATACGAAGGTGGTATAGTATCCTATACTTTGTCAACCACGTGAAAACATGATTTGCGAGGTTGGGAGATCCGGATGCTGCAAATTTCAGTTGTTTAGTGTTCTAGGTATGCTAAACGATTTAAGAGGCTCTGCTCGATGGTTTTCTACTAAAATTGTAGACAATTTTGTATACAGCTGAGTCAAGTATTGGCATTAGACGCGTTCCTCTATGTAAGCAAGGTATTTAGTTCTTTAGATAGGTTGAGAAATGATTGATTAGATTCGTATCCTGAAATTATTGCAGATTCCAGGAAGCGCAGTTTTTATCACCATTAATTATAAGTGCGTATATTTATTTAATTTGAAAAGCTCTTATACTTAATGAGTCATGTCTTGAATTTGTACGGCAAACAAATTGAGCTGAGTCACCGTACACGATTAGGTATCGTTTGATATTCCGACTAGGTATTTTAACCAAGCAAAAAGTAAGTGGATGAAGATCTGGCGGACCAGGATATACCTTAAGCTGTGGAGTTATGTAGCTGTTTAATAATATTCATTAGCATCTATCACTGCGTGAAGATAGACGCGAACCAAAAGCTCGAATTGATTACCGGCTAGACAGCTCATTCAGGACTCATCTTTGCCCGAGCCACAGTTATTTACAGCGTTTCAACTTGTCCTCGTGAATCAAGTAAATAGAGAGAATCTAATCTGTAGCAATAGCTTACAATTTCGTGCATAGGGTCTTGTATTATATAATGAATTGAATCAATCGTGTGCGTGATCAAAAATAGTAGTCCGCATGGGCACCGCGTTGCGAAGTACGCGGGGAAGACAGCATGTAGTTACTTGCTGTGAACTCTCTGCGTTATTCCAGATCAAAGTGAAGTGGGATTTGGTGGTCCGTCAAAAACAAAGTAACACTTATTTAGTTAGTTAAACACTTGCTCTGCGTACTCGACGTTTAGAGTGTATAAATGTCAAAGCTATTCGTGTTTGTGACCAACCATAAAAATCAGATTTTTTTTTAGTAGAAAGAAAATGTTATGGATGCTTAACCATATCTATCAATATGGTACGTCGACTTCAGACGTCCAACTTAGACAGGGCCATTTTGCCGAGTTTTGTGTTGACCTCTAATGATGTACTCACCGCAACCTATTTGCCGTTTAATCAATGACGGACTCTTTGAATTTATTTACGATCTATAAATAAGAGAACATGGGCAATTAAAACGATAAGCTTTTTCCACGGAACCACAATTCCCTAGAAGTTTACCGATGTGCTTAGGGCATAGTAGAAATGTATTGTTTTGTTTGACTTGTTTGTGACATGTTTTCCTCCACTCCGTTCAGTTTTCACATCGTCAGAGTCTAAAACGATATTCTTAGCAAGCGCGCAGCCTAGTAAACATCGAAGTTCTTTTCACAGGTACTAGTAGTTAACGCTGTTAACTTTATATGATGACGCTGTGGCATTCACTTCTACGATAACGTTCTGTTAGTTTTCTGTACCTAATATTGCTTCTGCTGTTGTATGTGGCGCAAAGAGGTAATGGGTGACCCTGTAACTGTCAGTTGTTGTTTCTATCCGTATGTCATTAGCTGTTGCGACGGCTGCAGTTCTGATTTCTATCGACTATTTCTAACATTATTAGACATGCATACGTTTTGAATATCAATAGGAGTTAGCTTACTTTTGTTTGAACATCTGAGTCTATTTAGACTCAGACAAACTTCACTCGATCGCTTGTCAACTACTAAAAGTAAAATGCTCCTTCTGTCGTTGTCCGATGAGGTAGCGATGGTCAAGAATGGAAAAACAGAAATTGCAGAGCCGCCCTGATGGCGCTCAGGTGCAGTGGCGCCAAGGCAGAAAGGATAAAACGGCTGAGTAAGTTGACTAATGGCTGACTAGGAAAGCTAGGCATGGAACGTCATTTCAGCATCAGAACCTAATCGACTGGGGGCCAGCAGCAGCAGTAATAGCGTAAAGCGCAATTGCTCTATCGTATGCATAACAAATAATCGACAAATCTTCAATGGTAAATGAAGCGTTGGTAATGATAGTAAACGTTTTTATATTGTCACTAATTTGGTTCTGTCTGGCGTCGATATTTATCATGCATGCAGTGATGGAGGAGTGTTTTGAATAAAACAAATGCGGTTACATAAATATATACAGTTAGATATAGTACAGGAGAATTTTGTGGACACTAATCAAAATATTATGCAGTGTTATAAAGAAGTGACATGACTGACGCTTACCGTTATTTTTACCTGTAATTAGCTACTAAGGAGCAGGCAAAGAAGAAGGGATACGATTGAATCAGAATATATATTCAGGGTAAAAGTTAAGGAGCATTGCTTCTGCAGCTCTGACCATCATGCTGATAAACCATTGAAAGCTACGAAAAATGTAGTATGACAACGGCCGTAACGCATCTTTCGTTATCGTAAACGATTGGAGGGGCGCACATAATATCCCATCGGCGCCAATAACAATGCCACTGATCTGTGGTTAGAAGGCGAGTTGCCGTTTGTAGCAGAGCGAACCTCTTTAGCAGCGGATAGAAATAAAAACTCATTAGGCCAACTACAAAGCCTGAAAAGGTAACCTCAATTAATGGAATGAATAGGCGATCCTGCTTCTTCTCTAGTTTTTGAATCGATTATTTTCACCTTAGTGGGGCACTGTTTGGCAGCGGCAGGCGAGTGAGCTTATACCGAGCATAAATAGCGCTAACTTTGTAGGGTTGAGATAATTTTGGTGCTCGTACGGTTACAATTCGTAAACAAAATTAATGTAGTTAAATAAGAATAAATAAAAAATGTAGTTAAAGTGTTTTGACACTTTTTTTTAAAAATAAATCAACGTCCAGCGCAATGAAATTGGTCAGTAATAAGCGAGAATTGTAATCGATTCGAAGTAAATAAAAACAAATTCGTGTTCTTTTTTTCTGTCGACGTTCTAGTTGAATAACAATTCTGATCAATTGTTCAAGTTTATGCGCCGATCGCCGTACTAATGGTCGAAACATTTTGAAGTGGTGAGCAACTGAGAAGACGCTATAGTGATTTTATAGTTTTGAAAGGAGCAAAGAAAAATAAATGCTATAACACCGAAGCACATTACGACGACAATACTACTTAATAGCAACGGCAATAATGAAGACAATAATGACTGGTACCGTTATTTTTGACGCTATAATGTCAAAATGTACCACGATGAAGTGACTCATGCAAATGGCTGCCGCGCGCCAAGGGAAACTGCGTAAGATCGCTCATAAGTGGTCGAAGCAAACAAATGCAAGTTAGGCGTAACGACAGCAGGAAGTCGACACATTTCTTGCTTGTTATCCTTGCCGCTAACTGCCTTTTATTCCTATTCTATCTGCCGTAATACCTGCTTGCGCATTTATACTCCCCCCTCCCTCTCCCTCCCCCCTCTCTCTCTCTCTCTCGATATATATGTATATGTTTGTGTCCTGACGAAACCTGTGTGGTATACAGTAAGATAGAGGATATTCTGCAGGATCGATTTACGTCCGAAAAATAAGGAAAGCGGCCTTTTAGCTCAGCAACTGCAACTATCCCAGTGTGTGAGAATAGCACGAATGCGTTGCACATCTTTGCTATAGGCAGCCCTGAACGACAATGAAAATTAGAGTATTGACCTGCCTTTGTTCCTTGGCGAGTTTTAAAAAATAATAATCAAGCCGAAGCTGGCGATAGCTGGCCAAATAAGCGACTGTATTGGACCAGTCACAGTCTGAACTTTGCGTATAGATGCTTTGTAGCGGTGCGTTGGCACTCTTAACACAGCCTTGACTGGCTTCATTACTAGTGCCACGATACTGATCTGTGGCGTTGGTGATATGCCTATGCCGCCATGTGTACATATACATGTGGCACATTGTTAGCAGCAGTGACAGCTGCAGGAGTATTCGAAATGCTGGCAAGAGTAATGGGATCGGCGTCAGCTGTCGCGAAGTAGTACTCGTGACGGTGGCGTTAGTACGGGTACGTTTGATCAGCGTTGTTTTCGCTGCTGCTACTGCTGTTACACAGTTGGCCATTGCGCTAGTTTGCACTGAGTTCAAGTGTACTCGCACGCCGTTAGGAGCACGGGGGTACGGCTATCAGTCTTAGGCACAATCAAGAAAAGATGGATAAATGGCTGGTTCAGGATAATGTGAGTGGCTCCATGCTACAACTGGCATCGTACAACGTGTCCATCGAGGACGCTATGACCGTCGAGATACAACGGAGCAAGTAGAAAGTGAATAGTGTCTGCTGGCGCCAGCAGA